GGCTGTAGCTGGTGAAACATGTTCTGCATTCGGAATTGTGTGAGGATCAAAAATGGCATTAGGTCGAGTTTTTCCGCGAATTCTTCGTCGCGGTTTGTGAGAAGCTTCTGCAATATCAGTTGGAATCAAATCATTTTGCTGTTCAATAGTATCTAGGGTCACTGCGTGGGAAGTGTCAAAATTTTTAACCCCATCTGGAGCTGGCGCACTGGCTTTGGAAGGTTGGCAAATTGATCTCGGAATGTTTGCGTGTCGCTTGGACCACCATGTGCGTTCACACTTTTTACAAAATATGAGGCCATATGTGCTTGGGTTACTTTCATCTCGTCCTGTGAGTCTATTCCATACAAAGTCGTGTCCTGCTTTGTTGAGGTCTTGTAGTTTCTTTGCTTCATGATCAAGTCGGCTGGTTGCTTGCTGCTTACGTGGTTTGGTCAACCATTGATCTGCTGGCAGGTTTTTGAATTTGCAAGGATTTTTTAGAATCTTGAGTCGAATATGTTTCATATAGGTCGTGTAAATTCCACATTTCACGCAAAACATGCCAGTTCCTTCTGGAATTGGTTGTAAAGTGTGTCCATTTTGTTCTGGCTGTGTTGTGCTACTGCTGCTACTGCTCGCAGCTTCTGCTGGAGTAATTGTTGAACTGTCAGGTGCGGATGGTGCATGTGTGATGACAACTTGATCTTCTGCATTATGCCAATCTTGGATGTGACGTTGCCAAATGTTGACTAAGGAGATCTGGATTTGGTGAAGGTTATTCTGGGTGATATTTACATTTTCAGGAACTAAGGTGGTGTATTGGAAACACATAGGAAATTCTTCGATTGGTTGAGATAGCGCTGCTAATGCTGGTGCACGCAAATCTTTGAATATCGGGCATTCCCAAGAGATGTGGTGGTTAGTGGGATTTCCACCACAAGTGCATTTAATGGTGCCTTTTTGCCGTCGATGGCGATGGTTAGCCTCAGGGCTCCCACTAGCAAAAGTCTTAAAATTTTCATTCTGGGACGAGGGTCTTCGCTAAGGTCAGGTGGTGCGCAACGTGCATTATCAATGTCATCTTGCAATCGATCTGCGTCTGCAGCCCAAAGTTTGAGCAACGATATGGACAAATCCTTTCGGATTCCAAACTGTGCTCCAGCAAAGTGTTGCGGTCTATCTCTGGCTAAATTTTTCCAAACGTATTTCCTCCAGCTTTGTCTGAGTTCATGTGGATCTTGGGGAGAAAAAGGTTTATTTTGCAAAACCGATTGAACTGCTTCGCTGAAAGCTTCATGTTGCAGTAATTGAGACGCTCTTGCAGCTGGACCATCATGTTTAGGCAACGTTGCGTCGACCAGTTGCTTGAAAGCTTGAGGATCTTCTGAGGTTTTCAAAGCTCTCTGGAGCAGTCGAATTGCACTGCTGTGCAAACAAAATTCTGGATCTAGAGATGGAGGAGCGAGAATTGTGAAAATTGCTAATGGCGATGCACAATAATCATCAGTGTTTAAGAGGCAACGTGCAACATCAGCTCGAAGGGTCCTAATCTCAGGCTTTGTGAGAGCAAGTTTGTGAGTTCCATGCCCCCATGAGAGCTGAGTGGTTCTCTGCTGGAGAACTTTGACTTTTGCAAACCAACCAACAGGTAAATTTCGAACAGCTTGAGTGGTCTGGGACCACTTGCTGGCCCGCTGTTGTTCGAGTTCTGTCCAGCACTTTTTCTGAGAGATCTTAACCACTGCACCGGTAAGTCTAAAAGCATCCTTATGGTTGGGGATGGATGGAAGTAACTTTTCTAAACAGCTATGTCCGAAAGTGAATGTTTTACCTGCATTTATTTTTAAACCTGAGGCTTGTGCAAATTTTTGAATATGCTCATGCATCTTTTTGATGGAGTCTTTAAGGAGTTGTTCGTTAGGTTGCGCATCAATAGATGATAAGTCATAAGTCATCTGCATAGCTTCTTGGACGTAGACGCTCATTCTGGGTGATTGTTTCATGCCAACAAGCGGTTAAGCTAGTGAGGATTAACATGCTGAGGGGGCACCCTTGGATTATACCATTTGTGGGAATAAATGGTTGATCGTAGTGTCCATCAATTTTGAATAGCTTGTTGTGACCGTTATAGAAGTTGTTCAACGTTCGGCAAATTTTCTCGTCACAACCTCTAGCTCGTAAAATGTTAATAGCCAGTTGAAAGGGCACACGGTCAAAGGCTTTTTCAAAGTCGTAACTTAGACCTCCTGGCAGAAATGTTTCACGAATTGCTTTTTCAATATCTTGGCAAGTATGATGAGTGAGGACGTCGGCTGCTGGTGTGTTCTTTGCACCATATATGCCATCTGGAATCCATTGCGGTAACCACATGTCTGCGAGCTGAGAATGTCTTACTGAAGACCAAAGGCGATAAATCGTGGAAAGAACCGTAATAGGTCTGTGTTGCAAAGGTGTTGGATAGTCACCATCAACTTCTTTTGGGATAAAACTTACCATGCCGATTTTTAATGGGTCTGGCCAAGAAAGTCCGTTTTCGATTCCTTGTAAGAGTTCAGTCAAATAATGGAACATAGATGGACACCATCTCGCGAGGGTTTGTAGTTCTTGATAGGTCCATTTGTCCAATCCTGGAGTGGAAGTTTTGTTTTTGAGGACTTGTTGGATGAGATCATCAGGCTGGAGTGGTGGCAGTTCAACTGTGGCTCGTTTTAAAGATGGACCGAATTTGTCCATGAATTGGCGAAGGTTCGGTTCACCGTTTTTATGAGCCCAGAAAATCTTTGACCAAGCATCGCGAATTGCTTCCATTCTGGACTGGCAGTTGGCTGACGGACCGTTTTTTGTCATGGAAATGGCGAGAATGTTCTTTTTGTTTTTTGTCCGTAGCCATTTGGCAGCTTCATTTTCGTTAGATCTCATACGCTTTTTCCAATTGAGTAATCGTTGTGATGAATTTTGCTTGCAATGTTGCTGGTAAACATGTTGCAAAATTTTCTCGGCGCGTTTTGCGAGATCGAAGCTGACCAGTTGGTCAGCCAGGCTATGAAATTCTGTTTGGTATTCACTTGGTAAGATTGGAATAATGCTGGACATTTTCTGCCACGTTTTGTCTCGACGGTATCCGGCTTGAGCTTTTTGGGCTTTCCAAATCTGTCTATCTTTTAAAGTAGTTGCTTGACCGCCAATAACTTTGGGAAATTTCCTGATGTCATGAAATTTTATTTGTCCTCTGTGGATGTTGGTAGGCTGAACTTCATGTTTTTGACAGTTGGCACTTTGAAATAGCAACTTCTCGGCATGTTGAGACCAAATTTGGAATGCTTCTGTTGCGTTACCACTACGCAATTGAGTGCGAAAGGACGAAGGCAAAGTGTCTGGCAGTATATCACTGGTGCTTTTTGGTGGGTTTAATTCAGGCAACTCTGCAACTGATCTCTGTGTTCGGCGAACTTGGGATGCCTTAGGAATATCGAGGTCAATGCTAAGCATAGAATGGTTGGTGGAACATGAGGTACGAGTAACTTTGTAGTTTTGCACAAGATCGATGGCACTCTTATATGCAAAAATGAAATCGATGCGCGACCCCTTGCCTTGATGGCATGTTGCATTCCATCGAAAGCCTGCAGGCGCTGTGCAATTTGTGTCAACCAAGGGTCCTTTGGCTTTCCACGCTTGAAGCACTTTACTGTCTTCAAGTGTCACAAGTTCATGTCACCAAGAACTAATGCTACGACATCTCCTCTCTCACATAAATCTTGCTGGACAGCTTTTCAACAATCATGTGCGTATTTCTTTTTGTGTGCCTCCCATCTTGCACCGCTGGGTAGATAAAGATTGTAAATGAAAATACACTGGTTTCCATCTCCTAGCCAAATTTGTACACCTAGCAGTCTATTATCTTGAGCGAATTTATGGCAAGGGTGATCGGATGGCCACTGCAAGGGCTTGTAGGCCCAACAAATAGATTTTTTGATCAGAAATGAAACACCTGTGAAATGTTTGTCGTCGCATCCGGGACTGTTTACTAAATGATGATTTGGGAATTGGAGATGTAATGTAAGGAGTGCTGGACAATGTGCTGCAAGTGCGTTTCACACATCGCCAAAACGTCGACATCCAACATTTTGGTCGCCAGCCATTTGCTTGGTTCTGCGAATCCTCCTATGTTAAGTGTGGCAACTTTAATAGAAGGTTGGTGGTTACCGAATTTGATGTGGTTCATTTTATTACGTGTCCGAGAAGATATAAACCACATGTGCTCGAGAAAATTCACGGCTGGTACTGGAACTTTGCTTGGCGAAAAATGCACAAGTTTGACACAAACGAACTGAATGCACATCGTAACTCTGGCCAAGTGTTTTATCACAGCATTTGGGCGAATCCAAATCTGCAGCGGTGTCTGCCGAGTACACATTGCAACTACGGTTCCGAAAAAGGAAGAGACTTCGTCCCGTGTTAAGCCTTCTCCTTCTTGGTATCAGGAGTGGAGCCTGTGCCTTTCTCTGCTAGTCGTTTGTTCTGTTCAGCAGTTCTTGGCGATGCAGGTGCCACAGGAGTAGCTTGTTTAGGCAACACCTTGCTCAAAAAGGCTTGACGATCTTTGGCTCTGGAACCTTGTGCTCGAGTACTTGATGCTGAGGTTTCTTTGGACATGGTGTTGGCATCTTTCAACATCTGGCGAGCTTTCGCGTTTGTGGCCTTATATTTCAGTCGTCGAAGAATGCCATTGAACTGGCAGTGCATCGGTCCGAGGTCACCAACTGAATCGGCTAAAAATACCAGCTGGTTTTCTGCTTGATAAATGATGTCTACATTTTGTCCACTTGTGGGTCCCGCAAGTCCGGTTTGAACTGGAATTCCAGTCAGTTTCCATTTTCCCATGGTGGCAGTGGTGGCATCAATGCCATTGGTTTTGGCAAAGTTCTCCAAAAGTGCAAGTGATTTGAATCTGACACCGTATCTTCCTGCTACAGTAGTTCCTTTTTCCACCAAGGCGGTCTCCAGTGAGTGAGATTCGTCTAACCACAAATTGGCATATCTGAATCGTCAATCTGCTCCTGCTTCTTCATTTTGTAAAACACTCCGCCCTGACCTGATGCTTTCAGGATAGTATCAGTGTATTCATGATGCAGAAGAAAAGATGCATGCTTTCTCTGCAAGTAATCTCGGCGCCGGAAGACCTTTGAGGGCAAAATCTTGCGCTGGCTGTGAGGTAAGTATAGCCGTTGGCGCAGTTGTAAAGCCAACTCGTTGAAAAACTCCTAACACCATGTCTCGAGGACAAAGAGCTATGCCACCGCGGTGATCCAAAAGCTGAGGACTAACTATCGGAGCATCCCACTCAGAGGGATCTAGCGTGCTCTGGGCACGAATGATCGCAGCTTGTGGCAATGCAGCTTTAATCTGTTCAAGTAAATCATGATCTTCATATTCTGCATCTGTTGTTTGAAATGCTTCTGGGAAAGTAGAGGGACTGCCTTTGGTAGAAGAGCGGCCTTTGCCCTTCTTTCCTTTGCCAGGTCCGTTGCCGTTCATGCAATGCATGTACTTGTTGCGTTTCTTTCCTGAAATTGCCCATCCAACATTGAAAGTCCAAAGAAACATCATCCAGAACAAGAATTTTGCAAAGTATTTCCAGTAACCTCGCAGTCTCTTCAGGTAAGATGATTTGCTTCGTTTGGGAGCATGAAAGGGCATCACGAGAGCATTGGGAATTTCGAAAAACAAAACAAAATGGAGGATCCATTGCAAGATCACAAACATGGAAGCCATGACTGGCATATACGGAGAAAGCCCACAGAGGCAAATTGTTTTTAGCCAAAAGGCTATGAAGGAAAAACAAATGAGCAAAACATGTTTCAACGACATTACGTTACAGCGGGTTGTGTCACATGAGACGTTTGTGTGCACTGCCTCATCCCCTATGCCGACGTCACCTCCGGAATGCACACAGTCGACATAGGCAAAGATGCCGGAGCCTGCTGGATCCCAGAAGTAGTAGGGGCTTGCCAAAGCGATCGAGCATGCCGCTCGATCCCTCCTTGCAGTGCAAGCTTCACCCCACACCTGTGCGCGGCACGGATGAGCTGGATGCACTGTCACGGCTTGATGTGTTTGGCTGATACTTTTGCTTACCCACAATTCTTTGTTGTGGGATTTGAGTTCCTTGTTGGGTTGGTATATTCGATGTGCTCAAATCTGGAAGAATTAGCATTTGTGAATCGAGTTTGCAATCACGCACCCATTGTGGAATGGGGAATTTTTGATCAGGTTTAACACACCTTGTGGAAGGATTATTATGGCGTTGCATCCACGCCCATTCTTTCCCACAAGTTTCACACCACAGACGTCCATAGTTGTTGGGTTGGTTTCGATTTTTCCCAAATTTTTGATTCAAGAAATACTTATGGCCGGCTTGATTCTGCTTGGTGTGCAAATCTTGCCATAGCTTCTCATATCTGACCTGGTTATTCATGGCCCCCGGTTTTTGCAACCATTGGGCTTGGGGTAGCTTAGGATGTTGACAAGGTTTGGGCAGGATTTTGAGGCGCTGGTGTTTTAAAAATTTTGTTGACTTACCACATTTTTGGCAAAATACTTACTGAGTTGGGATAAAAAGTCTTTGTTTTGATTCAGCAGAAACAAAACTTCGCTTGAAAAGGTTGAAGGCACTAAGCTGCAAAGCGAAAGCCGGGTCAACACTGGGCGGGGCTAAAAGTGCGAAGATAGCATTAGGTGCGGAATTATAATTGTATGCACTGAGCAATGCTCGTACCACAGTAGCTCTCATTGAACGCATGACATCTTTAGAAACTTGGAGCGTTTTCATGCCCCGAAACTGAGTTTGGACATCACACTTTGCAAGATTCGAACTTTGATTTGCCAACTTTGTGGCAAGTTCTGTATGCGTTGCACTACCTTGGTCCACCCAAGCATACGTTGTTGTTCCAATGGCGTCCACATGGGTTGATGAGAGATTTTGATGCTACACCCAACCAAGCGAAACGAAGTTTGATGGTCTTGAATTTGTGGAACGGTATGCTTGAAAGTATTGGTTCCGAAAGTGAAAGTTTTTCTGGTGTTAATTTGCATTCCTGCAACAGAAGTGAACTGTTGAGTACTTTGAAAAACACTACGAAGTCCCTCTTTGACAAATGCAGTGGATTGGCCAGAAACTACGGACGACATGTCATCTGCATAAGCTCTGGATACCGCAGCAGGTATTTGCGCATCATTATATTCCAACCAAGAGGTTACCAAGGAAGTTAAAATGAGCATCGAGAGCGGACACCCCTGAACAATTCCACAAGTAGGCTTAAAAGGTGGAGAATGGTGACCATCTAGACGGAAATATTTTTGATGGTGTGAATAGAAGTTCCGCAAGGTTTGTACTATATCAGGGTCACAACCTCTAGTTAAAAATAGGTCCAGGGCTAAACCAAAGGGAATCGTATCGAAACATTTTCGAAGATCGAAACCGAGACCGGCTACTACACCCCCTTGTGCATACGTTTCTGAGAGTTGTATACACGTCTGCAGGGCCAACTGGTCTGCAGAGGAGGAGCCTTTTCCTCCAAAAGAGTTGCGCTGCTGCCAAGTAGCAAACCAACTCTGGGTGAGCTGGAGATGCCGCGCTGACGCCCATAATCGATATATACATGAAAGAACCGTGATTGGCCTAAACTCATCAAGAAGAGGTGTCTCTTTATCGGGTTCTTCGGGTATGAAGGCTACAACACCTTTTGTTAAATGGGTTGGCCACTTATGACAACGTTCAATCATTTGGAGTAACCGGGCTAAATGATGAATGAGGGATGGGCACCAAGAAGCTGCTACTTGCAATTCTGGTGTAAGGATTTGATCCAGTCCGGGGGAACTGGCCTTCATTTGTTTAAGTGCTTTGACTAAAACATCTTCGGTCAGAATGCCACAATTTGCACGCGAAGCTCTAAGAGAAGGACCATAGATTTCCATGAAACGTCTGAAGGTTGGTTCACCGTTCTTATGTGTTGAATAAATCTTTTTCCAAACTTCTTCAATGCTACTGAGGCGATCTGCGATGTTTGCGGTGGCTTTACCCTGTACTGCGGAGACCTGTACAGGTGCACTGGCTGCTTTTCGCCTTAAGTGTTGATAACTTGCGGACAAATCCTTTCGCAGTGAACGTTTCCATTCAGTGATGCGCTGCTGACGATCTTCTCGATCATTCGCTTCCAAAGCGAGCTTCAGCGTGGCAGCAACTTGGTCAAAGTTGGAAGAATTGAGTGATTGTTCGAAACGTTCGACAAGATGAGGTGGCAGCCAAGGCATGACATGCCACAGGTTGTTGATTGTTCGGCCCCGACGTGTACCATGAGCAGCAACCGTGATTTCCTGTATCTGACAGTGAGCTTTCCACAGCTTTCTACCTTTGAGCGTGCTGGCTTGTTGATGGACAACCTTCGGATGCTTTCGTTGTTCATGAAAAATGATCTGACCGCGTTTTGCAGCGGCAGCGGTTGGTGCTGCAAAACCCTGATTTTTGGCAACTGTGTGACTTGAGTTTTCTTAGGAGACCGGGCAAAGGCCAAACAAACCAAACGGTTGGTATTATTATAGCCCATCCCATCTGGGGATGCACATGCATGGATGTTTGGAGCATCCTTTTGCAGGACATTTTGATGGAACATGTGGCCAAAATATGTTGCTGCGCCAAGATATTGCGCCTGCCACTCATTGATGTACTGCGCCTGCCACGTGACTTGTCTTAAGTTCTTAAGATGTTGCGCCTGCCACTCATTGATGCTTTGCACCTGCCTATCTATATCATAGAAAATCATAGAAAATCAGTACAATCAATATCATAGATCATAATTATAATCAAGTGGACTATCAGTAGATTTCCATGATATGTAAGTATGGGGGGAAGGGCATACCAAAAAATACATCACCACGTCATCAATCACTACTTGGGGGGTCGCTAAAGGGGAAGGTAGGAATGTTGGAGAGTCTGGGTCAGACCAAACTGCACACCCTGAAAACTCCAAACAAGGTTTCAACGCACACTGCAAGTCACTAATTCAGAGCCGAACGTTCAGCTCCGAATTGGTGATGATCAGCTTCCTCACTTCTAGTTCCAAACAAGTTGGGAGGGACCTACACAGGTGATTTTTTCTCAACAACCTCAGCCTGGCTAGTCGAGTTACGGAGCCGAACGTTCAGCTCCGAAACTGTGTCGAACAGGCATCGCTGAATCACTATTTCGATGATGTAAATCCTAGATTCTCATTGGGTTTTCTTAAGGGTTTCTCACCCAGACCCTTCCTTCCCCCTTTAGCGACCCCCCAAGTAGTGATTGATGACGTGGTGATGTATTTTTTGGTATGCCCTTCCCTACATATCATGGAAATCTACTGGTAGTCCACTTGATTATAATTATGATCTATGATATTGATTGTACTGATTTTCTATGATTTTCTATGATTTTCTATGATATAGATAGGCAGGCGCAAAGCATCAATGAGTGGCAGGCGCAACATCTTAAGAACTTAAGACAAGTCACGTGGCAGGCGCAGTACATCAATGAGTGGCAGGCGCAATATCTTGGCGCAGCAACATATTTTGGCCACATGTTCCATCAAAATGTCCTGTAAAAGGATGCTCCAAACATCCATGCATGTGCATCCCCAGATGGGATGGGCTATAATAATACCAACCGTTTTGTTTGTTTGGCCTTTGCCCGGTCTCCTAAGAAAACTCAAGGTGAAGAATATGTTCAAAACTCTGTGTCCAAAGCTTAAATGCAAGGCCTGTATCCTGTTTGGACAGCGCGTCGTCGAAGGTTTTACTTAGATCACAAGGGATGTTTGCATCTGCTGGCGCTGCTGGTCTTAATGGAGGAAATGGCGCGACAGCTCTCAAACTAGTGCGAACTTGCATAGGAGAAGGACAAACAATCTTTGCGGCAACCAAGGAATGATCTTTAAATTCGGGCAGTTTTGTGATATGAAACTCATAGCTTTGGTCAATTAAAGAGGGAGAAACAAAGATATGATCAATTAGTGAGCCGGAACTTTTATGGCACGTGGCTTTTTGCGATTCTTTTTCAGTGCCTCTGGGTCTAAGGTCATACCAAAATTTCTGTTGCAACAGTTGGCGAAGATTTTGAGAATCCTGGATTTCAAGGTTGAAATCCCCATAATTATATAAGGATTTTGACCTCTGGAAATTTGATCATACTGGACTGCCTGGATCAGCTCGTGAGTGTAAGTCTTCTTCGCTCTATCCCAGCGAGCGCCTGAGACTCCGTAAATGCCGTAGACCACCAGTGAAGTACCTCCACGGGCCAGCCACACTTGTGTAGCAGTTTGTCTACTATCTTGGAAGAATTTATAACAGGGATGATCTGGTGACCAAGTTATTGTTTGTGCGGCCCAGAACTTGGAGCGTTTAATCAGAGTTCTAATACCACTGAAATGTTTATCTGAGGGATTGATACCCCAAAAACAATGGTAGTCTTTAAATTGCTGATTTTCAGAGATCTCGAGGTGATTTTGGAGATGAGTCTCTGTCACAACAAGGATGTCTTTGGCGATTTCTTTGAGTCGCTTTCTTTTAACAGCTTCCTGCAATCCACCAATGTTTAGGGTTCCTATCGAAATGAATGCATCACAAGCCTGCGTATGCTGCTGATACCAAAATTTCTTTGGGCCATGATTACCATTCAAAATATGTGTTATCTTATTGCGAAATGCTCGAGAAATGAGCCAATGCTGAGGGCAGGGGTCAATGGCCCCAGGCATGCCAACAAGATCCCAAGAGCTAGGACGCTGTGAAGGATTTTGGAAAGAGGAAAGAGAACTACTAGTTATTGGACCAATGCGCCAAAGGATGCGCACGTACACGAATGCAAGTGACACCTGAAGCACCGAAGAAACACGCACAAAATGCTTTTGTCTTGAGGCACTCCACAGGTGAAGCTCTTTGAGCGTTAAATCCCATCGTCATTTCCTTTCTGCTGTTTTCTTTCCGGCGTCAAACCAGTTTTGGTTTGCTGAATCCTTTTTGGAGCATTCTTGGGATCAGCACTGATATTCTGCGATTGCTGTTTGATCGTATGCTGTTGGTAGAAGAGCTGCTGAGCGGCACTTCGGGCAGACTGTGTAGGTGCGCCTTGACGCTTTGCAGCCTGAGAACTTTGCGATTTTGTTTTTGCATGGTCCTGGGCAACCTTATTGGTGGCTTTGAAACGCAATTGGAAACGCGTTCCTCCAGTGATACAATATGAATCATTGATGTTTCCAGAAACTTCTGCTGAGAAGGTCGCACACAAGTCCTTTTGATAAAGAATATCGATGTTTTCAAATCCACGTTCCGTCAAGAAAGCTAGAAGTCCACAAGTGCCAATGACTGGTGAAATTCCCTGTACTTTCCATTTTGCATGAGAAGATGTGTCCAAAAGGTGATTGTCCTGTGCAAACATTCTCAGGTCACTCTCCTTGGCGAAGCGCAGCGCAAAACGAGGTCTGGTTCCAACTCCTTTACGGCAAACACCACAAACTGTGTCTGCCTCGGCGAGCTTGACCGCTTCCTCGAGAGAGAACTCTTCGTCGAGGTAGAGCAGAAAATAGTCCGTGGGTCCATCTTTGTCTTTCATGAACATGCCTTCACGGCCGGAAGCCTCCAAAAGTGTCTGCACATAGTCAGAATGAACCATGAAAGTGGCTGTGTCATTGACACGACAGACCACATCTGCAATAGCTTCTGTTGGAACCCACTTTGCTAGCTGTTGTACCACAAAAGCTGCTTGAAAAGGAGGCGAAGGAAATCCATATTCTTGCGGCAATCTAATCTGGAATTTACGCATGGTAACATACATGTTGACTTGTTCTCCTGCCATCAGTTGTTCAACAGGCAAAGCATAGCCCAACTGCACTAACCACCGTGTGATGGTTATGATGACACGTTCATTGTTTTCATCAATCACCGAAGCACTGCAACGAACGTGTGCACGAGTGAATCCCCGAAGTCCCAAGTGGATTGGGTCCTCTGTCACCAAAGCAGCCACACGGCATGATGTCCATCCAACTTGGCCTAGTACCATTGGCAATGCCTTCTTTGGCACCAAAGCCACGCCGTCATGCTTGCCCATGCTTTGATAAGGAATTGCTGGCACATTCCATTCACTTGCGATCAGCTGAGTCTGAGTGCGAAGCTTTGCAGCCTCTGGCAAAGCTGCTTCTATTGCAGCACGAAGTTCATAGTCATTGTTTTCGGAAATATTCTCTCTGGTAGCAATCATAGGTTGATCACTAGGTGCATCTGTTCTCGCAGTTTTGTTCTTCCCTTTGCTTTTTCCTTTGCCGCCATTGCCATTCATGGTATGGGCTAGCTTGTTGCGCAATCGACGGCTCATGGTCCAAACATACAGTTGGAGAAGTGCAGCATTCATTCTCCGTCGATTTTCTTTGCTCCACCGACTAATTGTCCAACCAAAAATGTATGCAAATTGTCTGGTGGATTGTTCAATTTTCTTTCCTAGAATGAAATACCAAAGAAACAAGAAACGGAGCCAACGTTGACTCCTTCTGGCTTTGAGTCTTCTAACTCTGCGCATTCTTTGGCGCAGTCCTCTTCTCTTCACCCTTTTGCAGCACAGAGGTTTTGTGACAAAGATTTGTTTCACACGTTGACATAGAGTGTGAGCTGCTAAGCTCACTTTGGCGATGATGGACTGGCTCCAGGAGTTCAATGTGCAAATCAGGAAAACCAATGTGAAGTGCTCTTCGAATTTCATTCCGGCATTGCATTGGAAGGCAAAAATTGCCATGAAAAGGAAGGATATCATGATTGATTCACTGAGGCCCAAAGTGGGCTGCGAGAAATGGAGCATCAAATTGGTCGCTAAATACAACAAAGATGTGCTGATGAGTTCTGTAGACTCTCGATCGATGTTTATAGTGATTCCTAAAGTCATTGTGCACGATGCTACCCAAGCGAACTGACCTATCTGACAAACAGATTGTGACAAGTGTGTCTTGCACTGTGCGAGCACTGACTCACCTCACTCCACGTCTTCACCTCCGGAATGCTCGCTGACGTAGAGATCGCTGGTGCCGGAGAGCCTGCTGGATCCCAGAAGTAGTAGTGGCTTGTCAGAGCACCTCGGCATACCGCCGAGATCCTCATTTGCGCCACTGGCTCAGCCGATACCTGTGGGAGGATGGTCACTCGATGCCGAATGCGAAGGTGAAACATTTGGCTGTGCGTGAAACGTACTGAATTGTTTGTTTGCCGACAATACGGCGATTGGGCTTACTAGAGGAAGATGATGGAACTTCCAATGGAGAATTACGAATAGGTCCATCAGGCTGTTGGAAAAAAGAAGCATCCATGCGGATTTGCTCCACCCACCGGGGAGCAGTGGGGGGTGGATTCAATGGTGCACACATGGTTTTGGGGCTGTTACCTCGGTGCATCCAAGCCTGTTCAAATCCACACTTTTGACACCAAAGGAGACCTAATTCCTGAGGTTTCTTACGATTCTTTCCAACTTTCTGATTCCAGACATAATGGTGTTGCGCACGGTTATATTGATTTTTTAGTTGCTGCCACTGCTGCTGCAATCGAACAACATTGGACATAGCTCCAGGAGCTTGCAACCATCGTTCTGGTGGGAGATTAGGAAATTGGCACGGTTTATTCAAAATTGTTAATCTTTGGTGCTTTAAATACTTCGTGGTTTTACCACATAGCTGACAAAAGACACCACCGTCTGCCGTTAGTTTCAGAATGTGACCCTTTTTGGGGAGAACTTGTTCCACAGACTCTGATCTAGTGACTGGTACGGATGCGCCTGAGTTATCAGCTGAAGGTTTTGGATGTTCAGCACCAAGTGAAGGATTGTCGTCGTGCCGAACAATTGTATTTTGGTTACCACTTTCTAACCATTCCTGAATATGCAGTTGCCATATTTTGATCAGTGAAGTCTGAATGGCAACGACTTGCTGTGTGGAAATCTGAAATTGGTTAGGTACAATGGTACAAAATTTGAAACATGTGGGTAGCTCATCGATAGGAACTGGCAAGGCTTCCAGTGCAGCTTGTCGCAAATGTGAAAAATGGGAACAATGCCAAGAAATATGGTCGATAGTTGGGCAACCGTCGTTACAGATACATACCACCTCTCCAGAGAGTCTACGGTGGCGAGCATCTCTTTCAGGTGTCATTCACCCAGCAATCAACAATTGACGCAGAATTTTCAATTGGGCGCGAGGATCTTCCGAGGGGTCAGGGTTAATTGACAAACCAAGATCACATTGTGTTTGGAGAACATCTGCTTGTTTGGTGAGTTTTTCAACAAGTGCAAGTGTGCGCTTGCGGTCTACACCTGACCATGTTCCTGCGAAATGCTGAGCTCGATCACTACATAAAGAATGCCAGGTTTTCAATCGATACTCTTCACGAAGATCATGTTCCCAAGAGGGGGATAATCTGTTGTGCAAAAAATCATTGAAAGTTTTGGCAAAAACTGGATGGTCTCGAATCTGTTTTGCACGTGTCAAAGGGCCATCTTCTTTCGCACTATGTACCTCAAGTGCTGAGGACAAATTGGACTTATCAGAATCGGAAGGATGCATGCGCATGATCAAACGAAAGGCACTGAATTGTAACACAAATGCTGGATCGAGTGCTGGGGGGGCCAGCAAGGCAAACAACGCCAGTGGCGAAGCACTGTAATGTTCTTCGTGCAGCAACACTCTAACCACAGAGGCACGCATAGTTCTTAAATTATCTTTGGAGACTTCTAAGGCGTGCATACCTTGGCCAAACGTAAGTTGGGACATAACACTTTGGCAAACCCGAACCTTAGTCATCCATCCCAGGGGAAGCAAAAAGGCCCGTGACATGGTTTTTGTCCATGTAGCTTGTCTCGTTTTTTCGAGAGGTGTCCAAGAATGAGCACTAGATGCTGATTTGACTGAACAACCAACCAACCGAAAAGTTTCCTGGTGATCACGGATCTCATTGACAGCTCCAGCGAATTTCTTAGAACCAAAACTGAAAGTTTTGTTGTTGTTGATTTTCAAGCCAGCAAGTCTTGTGAAGGTCTTGGTGGACTCATATATTTGTTGAAGACCTTTTTAACCTCTTTAGGACTGTCTGCTTGCACGACGCCTGACAAATCATCAGCATACGATCTACAAACTGAATTAGGTATGCGTGAGCTGGAGAACTCCAACCAAGAACAAATCAAAGTGGACACAATGAGCATACTTAATGGACATCCTTGCACCAGTCCGTTAGCTGGTTTACAAGGTTTCATATAACGACCTTCGAGTCTATAAAACTTTTCGTGATTTTGATAGAAACTTTTGATGCACTGGACGATTTTTGTGGGTGCACCACGAAAATGAACTATGTCGAGCGCCAGGTGGATTGGCACTGAGTCAAAGCATTTGGCAAGGTCAAATGAAACACCTGTAACGGCTTTATTTGAGCGTTGAGCTTGTTGGAACTGTTGACAAGTGAGGTAGGCCAATTGATCTGCAGCTTGACAACCCTTGCCCCCAAAACATTGTGGGTGACGCCAAAAAGGGAACCATAGTTCAGCCAATTGATTGTGTCTCACTGCACTCCAAAGACGATAAATTGTTGATAATATGGTGATAGGTCGATATTTATCAGGAGTAAGAAACTCGTTTTCACTTTCTTTCGGTATAAAGACGACCGCTCCTTTTGTCAATGGTCCTGGCCATTTGTTAAATTTTTCAACACATTGCAAAAGCGAACATAACGATGAAAGCAGCACTGGGCAGTATGAAACAGCAACTTGCAGCTCATTGATTGCAATGTGATCTAAACCTGGAGCACTCATCTTAGTTTTCGTCAAAGTTTCATATATCAACGATTCAGATAGATCGGGTATATTGGCAATGTGGGTTTGCATCGTGGGACCGTATTCAACAAGAAACTCACGAAGGGTAGGCTCATTATTTTTATGTTGGTTATATATTTCACTCCAAACCTGAGCAATACTTGACAAACGAGTGTGCAAGTTTGCCGTGGGAACTCCTTCGACCATGGATAAACGAACATCCGCACGAGGTGACTTGTGTTTAAGAAAAGAGTATGTATCTTTGGTGGCTTTGCGATGGGACTGTTTCCATTTTAAGATACGCTCTTTTTTGTCAGCTTTTTCGTTTTCATCGACGGCTTTTTCAAACAACTGCACCAGTTCATACCCGATATCTTTGGAAAATGTTTGACTAGTAAGTGCATCAAATGTTACAAGATGATCAGCACTCAGCCATTTCTTGGCTGACTGCAACTTGGCGAGTGTCTTTTCTTGACGAGTACCAACCGCCATCTTGGAAAGTTCTAAAGCACGACCGTACCCTTTCCATAAGGCCCTGCCTTTGAGAGTTGATGCAGAATCATGCATAACTCTGGGATGCAGCCGTTGTTCGTGAAAAGAAATCTGCCCACGATGAGCTGCTGCACGCTGTGGGACATCATGGCCTTGTAGCATAGCAATTTTGTGTAAAACCCGCTCGAAAGATGACGACCAGGACTTAAAAGCTTTATCAACATCCCCGTTACTAATGGCATCCTTAAACTGGCGAGGGATTTGATTTTGAAAGGTATTGGAGGCGCTGGAAGCACGATTAAGAGTGGGAAATGTATGGACTGGTCTCAAGCTGGTGTGCGTTTGCACTGCAGTAGGCACCCAAATATTGGCAGTAAGAACGGAGTGGTCTTTAAATTCTGGAAATTCTTGGATCTGAAAATTGAAGCACTGATCAAACAAATGCGGCGACACGAATATGTGGTCAATATATGAGCCCTTGCCTTTGTGACAAGTCGCTTTATGCTGTTGTTCAGCGTCGCCTGACGTTCTGAGATCAAACCAAAATTGAGAAGCCAAGGCATCAGAAAGGACTTGCGATTCAGAGATTTCCATGTTGAAATCCCCCATCAAAATACATGGGATCTGTCCACGAGAAATACGATCAACTTCGATTGCTTTTAAGAGCTTGTGCAAATAGCTGCGTTTTTGAATTTCCCAACGAGCTCCACTGACACCATAAATCGAGTAAATAATCATGGATGTGCCACCACGACCAAACCATAGTTGCGTTGCGATCAGGCGATTATCCAACACGAAGGACTGACATGGGTTGTCAGTTGGAAAGTTGACTGTCTTAACAGCCCAAAAAGCAGACTTTTTAGCAAAAATCGCGACACCTCCAAAGTGTCTGCATTCCGGGTTAGGACCCCAAAAACACCAATAAGATTTCAAAAATTCCTGCTCAGTTTTTGCATATGAGTTTCATTCAAGGCAAGAATATCAAGATCTAAATCGATCAAGCGTTTTCGTTTTACCTGTTTCTGAAGTCCACCTGAGTTCAGTGTGCCAATTGATAAGCTTTGCATAACAGAATTGTTGTGACACTGGTGCCACGATGGTTTGTTGGGATGATTCCCATGGATTATGTGACAAAGCTTGTTCAAAACACGGCGACTGCGACACCAAGTTTGAGCAGGCTTTTCCATTGCAGTCGATGGGTTATCATGGTCTACGATTCTCGTCGAGCTTTGGATTCCGGAGTTTCTCCTGTTTTTTGTGAACCAACTCTTTTTGCAGCAGTGTTATCACTTGGGGGCTTGGTCTCGTCAATGGCGAAGTCACCTGGGTTCTTAGGTTTGTCATGGTGTGGCATCACTTTGCGCAAGAAGGCTTCTTGATCACTTTGTCTTGCACTGCGTCTGTCAGGACGACTTGCGGAGGGTCTCGAAGATTGACTGCTGTTTTTTGTGAGAATCTCAGCTCGTTTGTTGAGAGCTTTGAACATCAATTGTCTTCTGGAGCCGTCAAAGTCATAATACATAGGGCTATTGTTGCCACATGTTGCTGATAAAAAGATCACTTTGTCATCTTTGATGAACAAAATCTGAACGTCCGTCCATCCTTGTTCAGTGAGAAATGCCAAACTGCCGTGAATTCCCATGGCAACGTGAGCGCCTGAGAGGCGCCAGCGACCAAGGTGGCTGGTGTCTGGTACACTATGTTTGACCGCAAATTCTTGCAAAGTTTCGAGGGATTTGAAACGAATTGCGAATCGGGAAGCGGTCTCTTTGCCTTTTTCAATGACACCGAAAGCGTTGTCATTTTTTGCGAGTGTCAAAGCTTTCTCTAAATCAAATTCCTCAGGAAGCCAAAGCAATTCCATGGGTGACTCCTCAGCTGAAAGTTTGAGCTTGTAGAAAGCACCATTAACTCCGGATGCACACAACAAGGCATCTATGTAATCAATGTGCACCAAAAGTGAAGCACCTTGTGTTTCACGACAAATGATATCGTCAATGGCTTGGGTGGGAATGTGCTGCGAAACTTCATTGGCAACAGTCGAAGCTGGAATCTGGCCAGTGGCCCAATGATGACGTGAAGGAAATTTGGCGATCATAGGTCTCATGGTTGTCATGATTTGTACTCTTTGGCCATGAAATAGTTGGCACACCGGTGGGCCGAAGCCTATTTGCACCAAAAACTTCTGCACTCGAGTGGTGTCTCTTTGCCCGTGATCGTTGACATACGAAATTGTGCAAGTAATCCGCTCCCGCGGATATCCGCGTAGCCCTAAAGCTTCCGGTGGTTCAGTCACAACCAAGGCAACTGGTGCGGCTGTGTACCCAATACGTTGTACTATACCTGGAATAGCAAATTTTGGGGCTATGGCAACCCCGCCCTGTCGAGAAAGTGCTTGATGATCCAACACGGCAACGTTCCATTCATCCTCAATCAGGCGAGATTGTGCTCTCAAATGAGCTGCTTCTGGGAGTGAGTCTCGAACTTGACTGGCAATATCAGCGTCTGAGATCTCTGGGGTCATGGTTGCCGAAGGAGCTTTGCCCCCTGCACCTTTAGAGCGGCTCCTTCCTTTTCCCTTGGCTCCAGCGCCACCACCATTTCCATGTAGAGCATGTAGAGCTTTGTTGCGCTGTTTTGCAGAGAGAGACCAGGTTGAAAATGAACAAGACAAAGCGCTGCTACCACAAATCAGGTAGAGAATAGCCAACAAGAGCCAGGCCTTGAGACCACACTTGGTTCGGAACTGTCTTCGAGAGAAACGTCTATATGTCTCCTGTATCGTCTGGAATCGACCGTGCGACATCGAATCAACCGAACAGGTTGTCTGCAGAATCTTTGAGGCAAAGTGGTCAGCAATGATGATTTGGCAATCAGGTGATGGAAAAATTTGAAAAAGCAGAAAAGGACGAATGCATCAAAATGGAAATCGATAAAATGGTGCACAGCAAAAGTAGCCACACAGGCAGACATCATAAGTGAAACATATGGAACCATCCAAACAAGGAAGAGTAACATGGGCATCAGAGCAAAATGGCTTGCGTCACAAAGGACACTGCAAGTTGTGTCATACAGACCTTGAGCACACCGACACATCACCGAACTACCACTCACCTGTGGAATGTGCTCAAAGTAGTTCGGTCTTGATGCCACAGAGCCTGCTGGATCCCAGAAGTTGGTTCTTGTAGGAGTAATGACGCATGCAGCAGCCAAACTCCACACCTGCCAAAGTCACACAACCCCTACCCGGTCAAACACCGCAGGTCGATCCGTTGAGGAGGAAGCTCTCTCTTCTTGTGGAACTGAAGTAGCTTGAAGATGTGAAAGTGGAGTTTTATGATTTATGCGCTTTGGTATCTTGGTTCGATTTGTTCCGTGACAAGTTGTCCTGGAAAGATTGCAAACTCTGTCTTTCCATCGCCAGGTGCGATTGCATGTTAAACATAAAATTTTACCCTCATTGGGTGATCCAATCTCTTTTCCCAAAAGTCTGTTCCATTGTAGAGAGTGACCACCGAGATTATATTTCACATTTAACTCATGCTCCAGATGGTCCAAGCGTGTTTCCGCCATATTGTGTCCTTCCTGAGCAAGGATCGGACCATTCGGATTCGCACAAGCTTTCTTCGTAATTTTTAGACGGACATGCTTCAGCATACTTGTGAATTTCCCACACCTTTTACACCATATACCGGTGCCATTGACCCTTGCAGACAAGAGATGACCATTTTCCTCCACGTCTTCCCCTCTAAGAACTTGATGACTGTTGAGGTTTTGGGGAATGACTGTAAGATCCTCACCGGCATGCCATTGTTGGATATGATGTCGCCACACATTGACCAAAAATGATTGTATATTGAAAATGTCACCATCAGAAAGATTGCTCCCCATTGGAATAATTGCAGCATATTGGACACACACAGGTAGATCCTCGAGCGTACAGGAAAGTTTTTGAAATAATACATTTCGTTGGTTTTGATATATATTGCATGCACCGCCATGAAACATGTTCTACAGATTCCCTTTCCAAACCGCAACGACACAAATGATGACCACCCTTGTTGCAATGACGTAGTGCCCTGTCTGGAGTCAACAATCCACCAGCGAATATAGTGCGCAAGACACCTAGCTGAGCTCGTGCCTGAGAAATTTCCATGTCATCCGTATCAGCTATTGTGTTGTCTGCCACTTGTTGCAATTGATTGTACCACTTCATTGTACGAATTCTGTCAACCTCATGTGCGCCTGCATAGTGGTGGCTACGTTCTCTGCTCACCCTATTCCACAAGTGGTTTCTCCAAGCCTCCCGTAACATATGCAACCACTCATCTTCATTAAAATCACCATTGATCAGCTTATAAATCAACTCACCCAAAACTGCAGACTGTGACAGTGTGCGCAACCTGGCCGTAGGCCCATCCACCGGGACTTGCATTGTGTCAAAAAATCTACGGCGAATTTCCGCAGCAACATTTAAATTACGCATAAACCTCATGATAGCACGTAAACCTTCGTAGATGCAACCAAACTCCGGATCGAGCTGCACCGGTACGAGCAAGGCCATTGTGACCAACGGGCTACAAGAGTAAGCATCCATATTCCACAAAGATCTCATAATGTCTGAACGAATCTGTTTCAAATATTCACGGTTCTCAACAAGGCCATGCGTTCCCTGCGCAAAGCAAGCTTGTGACTGTGTTGTAAGCATCATTTTGGCTCTTTCTTTCCAACCGAGTGGGACCCTGCGTATTCTTCTGATACTATTTTTCCATTTGGACCAACGTGTGTTTTCCAGCTGAGTCAAGAAAGAAGAGTCATCACGCACCACTAAGGACCCACCAACTATCCGAAACTGCTGTAGATGCTGAAATGAAGGATTGAGAATGCCCTTGGCAAAGGCATTGCCAAACGTAAAGCACTTCTTGTCATTCAATTCACCGCACCCTGCCGCAACATAGCTTCGCATTACTGCATGCACCGATCTTAATTTGTTCTTTGCTTCTTCTGGAGAACGCCCCACCACAACGGAGCTCAAATCATCAGCATAAGATCGAACTGTCAGTCCTTCCACTGGGATTCGGTTGGTGGATTCGATGACGCATGTCACTAAGATGTTCAGCATAACCATTGAGATGGGATCACCCTGTACCAACCCGTTTCAACTTGTCCACCATTGACCAGCTGCGCCATTCAGGCGAAACACACGACGCAAGTCAGTGTAAAGGCCCTGGACCGCCCGGAGAATTCTAGGATGACACCCGCGAATCTTCATGGTTTCCATAGCTATTTCGATGGGAATAAGGTCAAATGCTTTTCGGCAGTCATAACTCACACCTGCAATAAATTGATTACCAGTGTAACCTTTGCTTTCCAAATCCATGGCGATGTGGAGTGCCATAGTCTCCGCACTTCGGCCAGGTCTACATCCAAAAACCTGCTCAGTGACCCAACCTTCCTGCCATTGTAGAAGAGGACCAAATCTAGTTTTTGCATAAAGACGGTAAATTGATGATAAAACGGTAATAGGTCGAAAGTCCGTGGGTCGTACATCCTCGAGGTTGTCATCTTTCGGAATCAGCGAGGTGTAAGCGTCCATCAACTGCTTTGGCCATCGGCCCAGAGCTTCTATCCTATTATATATGGAGGCAAGGTCATCAAATATCATGGGATACCACCACGCAAGCATGGTGAGCTCTTCCGGCTTCCAATTATCTAGAGAATGTGAACTGGGGGACGTTGCTTTTGCTGCTGAAACCAGAGACGGACCTGTTATGTCACAAAGTGACATATCCTGATACCGCATGTTTGGACCAAAATGTTCAATAAAAGTCTGCACCTGTGGCTTCTCCTGCTTAAATTTTTGAAAAATTGGAATCCATTCGTTCAAAATTTCCTGCAACTGTTGTGTACGGTGGATGGTATATCGACCATCAGAGCGTTTCATAGGGAGTGTTTCTACCTTGGCCCAACCTTGAACCCATTTGTAACATTGTTTTTCAGATGACTGGAGGCGGGCTTTCCAAGCTTTCAGTCGCTTCTGTCCACAATCTCGTTTAGCTTGTTTGTATTCCTGACTAATGAGAGATTGCAAAGGTTCAAGGGTCTGTCTGTTGATCTTCTCCGGCACGAGCTGTAACACACCCGTTGTGAAGTTATTTTGTTCACGAATAATAAATTTCCGTAAATTACTGTATGTGTTGTCGGCACGGTGACCCCAAACTTGCATTCTGACCAACTCTTCAACCTGTCGCAAAGCTTTTGCAAGTTGACGACACCAAACCGTGTCCGTGTCAGCAAACCCTTCAGGCGGGTACTCTGTAAGACGTCTCCATGCTGTCCTGCCTCTACCATGTGAAAACGACACGGTCTTGTCAGTTGTAGGAATTGTAGCCAGCAAATTTTCAGCATTCAGTGACCATTGTTTGTAGGCATCCTCTAGGTTATTCTTTGCAAGATGTTGTTGTATCCGCTTATCTCTCTCGATCTGTGGAGGTTCATAGCCAGAAGATGGGTATTGATATTTTGCATTGGAACATCTCTTGGGCATATACCAGTGTTGTGCTGCACAAGGAACATGCATTTTGATATCCAAAATTCTGTGATCTTCTGTATTAATGCCATCCATCAAATCATATTGACATGCCAAAGAAGCAGCAGTATGGTTCAGCAGCGCCATGTCAATTCTGGCACCGTGCCCTTTCATAGATGTCGGTCTGTCATCAAAACCGGTGTTTCCAAAGAGAGCAGCATCAACCCATCTTGATTTTTTGTAAAGATTGAAAACATCAGTAGCATCCTCCACTGTCAAATTGAAATCACCGCAAATAATCGTGGCAAGATCCCCTCTTAGGACTGAATCTTCATGTATGGCGCTTAGCATCTGCCTGTTGTAGTCACGCTTGGAAGGTTCCCATCTTGCCCCAGATTTGCCATAAATAATGTATAAGATAACAGAGCGTTTTTCATCACTTCGAAATATCTGCACACATAATAATCTGGAATCATTGTAAAATTGACGACATTTGTTGGAAAGAAATGACAACTTCTTAACGGCCCACGCAGACGACTTCTTGTACATGAAGGCCACACCCGCAAAGCCGCGGTCAGAGACAGGTTCACCAAAGATAATTGTATGTTCCTTCATTTCACGTGTAAAGGACTGTTGAGTGTATATGTTTGCATGTGTTTCTGAGAGCGCCATGAAATCTACAGTGTTGTCGGCCAAAAACTCACTTCGCCCATCCTTCTGCAAGCCAGCTATGTTGCAAATTCGAAGACAAATGAGTTGATCATTTGAGGACTTCGTATTGCCGTGCATAATATGCATAAGCTTATTCCATCTCTTCGAGAAGAAAAAGGTAATATGAATTCCGTGAAACAACATTCCAGTCATCTGGTCATCGCTTAGGCTCTGGGGTTTCCCCGGTATGCCCTTCTTGTTGCCGCTTACCAGTAGTTTTGGCTGGAGATGAAACTTTTGCCGTGGCTTCAAGCCTCTTAAGAAAAGCCTGTTGAGCCTTGGCCCTCTCATTGACTTCCTGTTTGGGGGTTCTAGAAGCTTTTGCTGTGCTTTCAGCCTCTTTTCGTGCTGCAAGGTTGATGGCCTTAAACCGTACTGCTCGTGGTTGATCCAAATACCGAAAGTGCACTGGCGCATCCTTCCCCCTGTTCTTGCTTGTAGAAACTGCCGAATCCTCTCCTTGGTAAATGATTTCCAAAACCTCCCATCCCAGGGAGGCCAAAAGTTGATGAAGACCCTGAATTCCTGCCTGCAGTGGAATGCCAGTGACCTTCCAACGCTGCTGAGAATTGTCGTAAACCAGTTGATTGCTAGTGGCAAACTCCTGCAGCGATTTCTCATCCCTAAAACGGATAGCGAGTCTCCCTTTTGTACCTTTCTCCACCAATCCAAGGGCTTTGGCCTGCATTGACATCTGGTATGCGTCATCAAGAGTAGTGCTCTCCTCCAGCCAGAAATAGCTCATGCCACATGTCGATTTCAGAGACGTGACGTTTGAGAAAAATGCCATTGGCCCCACTTTTAGATAGCAATTCGTCCTCAAATGTGTTGTGAACAAGAAATAGAAAGGAACCGTCTCCCCTAGACATGATGGAATCAAATGCATGTTCATCCACAAATTGTTGCAAATGATTGGCCAACACCCCAGCAGGATGCGGACCATGCGCCCATCCTCTGTGAACGCTGAATTTTGCGACCATGCGAGTCATAGTAAAACCAACTTGAACTTCATCACCAATTGGTTGCATGGAAACTTGTTCTGAGAATCCCAACTGAACTAACCATCTTTCTACTTCTTCAACCTGCTTTCGAATGCCACCCGTTGATACTACGTCGTAGCTGCACTTGACCCGCGTTCTCGGGTATCCAACCATTCCCAATTCATCCGGTTCTTGAACAATAAGTATTGCAGTGGGTTTTGAAGAATATCCCACTTTGGCTAGAATGGTCGGGATTGACTCCTTTGGGGCGATTGCAACACCGCCCGTGGCATCCAAATGTTGCCATTCTTTGATTGTCTGAGTCCATTGGCTTTGAATAAGCTTTGGCTGCATACGTATTTTTGCCGCCTCTGGCATTGCTGTTTTCATAGCTTGGGCAAATGCAATCTCAGGATCAACCTGTGCTGCAGTGTTGTATGCATTCTTGCCGCCGCCTTTGCTGCCTTTAGCAGTGGGTCCACCATTGCCGGTAAGGGCATGGACCATTCGGTTTCGAATAAGTCTTGTGAGAAACCAACATATGCCAAATATCATGTAAAGAGAATTGTGCACATGTTTACGCAAGCAAAAATCATTGTCAATCTCTTGAATTTGCCCGAACATCTCCCAGGAGACATAGATCATAAGAAGAACATGTAAGAAAATCACTGTGCAGGACATAAGCTTCACGATAGCAACGTTTCTCGGTCGCAAATTGTTGTGTTTTCTCGGTTGCTTCTTGCTAGTCACACGCATTCTGCCAACAAAACGTGCCGGCAAAATCCACTTCTTGCTGTTGGTTCTAAAAAACAGAGAGGACCAGAAAAAAGGTGTCATGGCTTTCCGTGCAAAACGCTGCACTCGCTCATATGCCATAATGGGCATTGTCACAATTGGCACAATTTGCCAAAGAAATGCACAAAGACTCGTGACCAAGCAACACATGACCATATAGTCGATGATGCCAACGCTTCTCGAAGCAAACTCTGAGGCGCAAACCTCGTGTGACGTACACTGTCTCGCCACGCAACCACCCATCACCTCCGGCATGTACGTCTGGTAGCTGTGTGTTGGCGCCGGAGAGCCTGCTGGATCCCAGAAGTAGTAGGGGCTTGTGGCAGCACCGATGCATACAGCATCGCCACTGCATGCAAAGAGCTGGCTATCCGATGCCAGCTCTTGGATGTGTGTGGATTCCTGAAGACGATGCGGTGGAAGGCTCACAAACCGTTTGGTGGGTCTATGTGAATTTGTAGGCGTGGACTTGCCACGGATGCGCCTACGAGGAGCGGGTTCTGAACTATTCGAGGGTTGGTTTATATTTAAGTCTAAAACCCATTGCGGGGTTGGTTGGCTATTAGGCAGTTTACGACAAACAGAACGAGGAATATTCGCATGACGTTTACACCAAGGCCAGGTTCTCTGACATTTTTGACAGTAGATCCAACCATAACTTTCTGGTTTGGATTCGTCTCTACCTGCCTTTCGGTTCCAGACTAAGTCGTGACCAGGTGTATTAATTTCTTCTTTAAGTTTACGTTCTTCTTCATCGAGTCTGCTTTCGGCTTGATGCTGACCAGGCTTTGTGAGCCATTTGTCAGGTGGCAGCGTAGCAAAACGACAGTGGGCTTTAAGAATCTTTAGATTAATGTGCTTGGGAAATTTGGTGTTGAGCCCAAATTTCACAAAAGAAACCAGGTGAGTCAGATATAGGCTTTATAGTGTGACCCTTTTTCTCGACTGGATTGCGGGTTGGAACGGTATTAACTGTTGATGATGAAGAAGGAACGACATCTTGTGTTTCGATATGTGCGTCATCTTGGGTTTCGTTCCACTGTTGGATGTGGTGTTGCCAAACTGTGACAAGACTATCCTGAATGATATGAAGATGCTTTTGGGTTATTTTCATGTTCATTGGGACTAACGTGCAGTACTGAAAACAAACGGGATAATCTTCAATCGGTTTTGTCAAGGCTTGCAAGGCAGGTAAACGATATTCTTGAAATAATGGACATTCCCATGTGATGTGGTGGTGGGTTGGCGATGCACCACATTTGCATTTAATAGTGCCTTTAAGCTTTCGATGGCGATGGTTTGATTCTGGATTTAACAAACCAGCTGTGAGCAACAGTCGTAGACAGGTCGTAGAATCTTCTGGTGTGGTCGAGGATCAGCAAATGACTTCCCAGAAGTAGAGGTGGCTTGTTGGAGCGCAGCCGGCATACCGCCAACGCCCTCCAAACACACAGTATTCATCCAATGCCTGATCGGGGCAAAAGCACCGGTGGCAAAGGCTGTTCAGATGATGAGCTTGCTTGATTTGGATTCTGTTTTCCTACTAAACGTCGTCTTGGCGCTGCACTGGACTCAGCATCGAATGCAATTTCAGCATTATTTTGGAGTACTGAGAGGGATGGATTACTTAGGAACGTTTGCACCCATTCCGGCGGGGGTGGTGCAGGATTTGTCGGAAGACATGGCGCTGAATTGGGTAAATTGGCGGTGCGATGCCTGCAAGCAAAATGCCTGCCGCAGGCTCAGCACCATAGCCTGCCATAGTCTGCTTCTTTTTTTGGATCTTTGCCGCACCGTTCATTCCATATAAAATCGTGGCCTGGCTTGTTATATACTTGTTGCAATTCTTGCCATACCTGATTTAAACGATTAGGATTATTCATGCACCCAGGCTTATCTACCCATAGATGTTGGGGCAGATCAGCGTTCCTGCAAGGTTTATTGAGTATTTTGAGACGTTGATGCTTTAACAGTTTAGTGGACTTCCCACACTTCCGACAAAATACTCCACCTTCCTCTGTGATTTTGAGTACATGTCCTTTTTGGGGAGCTGAGACAGTTGGTTGGGAAGAATTATTCGGTTCAGGTGTTCTCTTGCTAGACGCATTTTTAGCAGAACTTTCACTGCCAATCGGCTCTGGAATAACCTGGAATTTTTCTGAACCATTGTACCATTCATCGATGTGGGATTGCCAAATTTGAACCAAGGCTTTTTGAATACTTACAACATCTTGATGGGGAATCTCGAAAGAGTCTGGCACAATGCCACAGCATCGAAAGCAAGTAGGCAGTTGTTCTATGGAGGAAGGCAGCAGCGATAAGATTGGTTCGCGAATGGAGCGAAAATTTTCACAATACCATGATATATGCACCAAGTCTGGAGTGCCCTGCTTGCATGTGCATTGAATATGGCCCTCATGCTTTTTATGACGATGCTGACGTTCCGGGTTGTGAAGGCCTGCCGAAAGTAAAAGTCGCAAAACCTTGAGTTTGGCACGAGGATCTTCACTTGGTGTTGGATTGGTAGCCATTCCCATGTCACACTGTGTCTGCAAGTAATCGGCTTCAATCTGCAGCATGTTTAAGTATTGTAAGGTCGCTGGTCTGTTGATGCCTGCATTGCAACCAGCAAAATGCTGAGGGCGGTCACGACACAATAACTTAAATAGGTGTGCTCGATGAGCTTCCCGAAGTTCGTGCTGCCATTTATGCTGGTTAAGTCGGTTATGTAGAAATGACTCCAATGTTTTTCCAAATACTGGGTGTTGTAGCATCTGCTTGACTCGAGCAATTGGACCATCAGCAGTAGCAGTCTGTTTTTCGACCTGTATTCGTAATTCATCGATTTCGTCCAGGCGGACAAACATCCGTCGAATTAGATTGAAAGCACTAAGATGGTATGCATATTCTGGGTCAATGGTTGGCTTGGTGAGAAGTGCAAAGATAGCATGAGGTGAAGCGTTGTAATCGTGTGTGCCAAGCAAAGTCCGGATCACATTCGCTCTCAAAGATCTGGCGTTTTCAATAGAGAGTTGGAGACAATGCATTCCTTGGCCAAACGTTAATTTGGACATAACACTCTGGATAATATCAGTCTTATCCTTCCAGCTTCGAGGGATGTGTTGCACCAATTGAACCACAGCTTTCCACTGTTCCTTTCTTTGCTTTTCAAGTGGAGAGAAACCTTTGGCATTGGTGAGTTTGATACTACATCCAACGAGTCGGAAAGTGTCACTATGTTCCGGAACATCTGGAATGTGATTTTTGAAATCTTTGTTACCGAAAGTGAAAGTTTTCTTGGCGTTAATGGTAAGGCCTGCAGTTTTTGTGAAGTCCTGGGTCAAATTATATACTTTTGGAAATTCTTGAGATACAGTATGTTTGCTGGAATCTACCGTCACGCATGACATATCGTCAGCATATGAACGCGGCACCGATACTTTTGTGTTCGCTTGTAGATTTTCCAACCAAGAGGTGACCAAAGATGTGGGAATTAACATACTTAAGGGACAACCTTGAACAATACCACAGGTGGGTTTGTATGATGGCAAATAGGAACCTTCGAGTCGGAAAAATTTTTGATGAGAAATGTAAAATGATCGCAAGGTCTGCACTATGCGTACGTCAGCACCACGGGCGCTGAACACATCTAAGGCCAGGTTAAAGGGAACGGTGTCAAAACATTTGGCCAAATCAAAGGAGATGCCTGCCAAATAAAGGTTATGGGCTTTCGCTTGCTCAATTTGGCTGCAAGTTTCGTACGCCAGCTGGTCTGCTGCTTTGGAGAATTTCCCACCATATGATTGGGCATGCTTCCAGTGTGGGAACCATGAATTGGCGAGCTGATTGTGCCGAATGGCCGCCCATAGTCTATAAACACTGGAGAGAATGGTGATTGGTCTATAATCACTAGGTGTGGGGTACATATTATCAGACTCTTTAGGGATGAATGCAACAGCTCCTTTGCCCAAGTTCATGGGCCGTTGATGCGTAGTTTCAATGACATGGTACATACTGGCTAGGTGCTTGATCATGTCTGGGCACCAAGCAGCTATAAGTTGCAAGTCACGTGCCGAGATCTGGCCTAAACCCGGTGAGCTGTTTTTGGTTGATTTCAATGTGGATACAATATCATCGGGGGTGATCGAATTAAGAGTATTTGAGTGGGATTTGAAATGTTCCCCGTATTTGTCCATAAAGGCGCGAAAAGTTGGTTCACCATTTTTATGTCTGGAGTAAATATCTTTCCAAACATTAGCAATGCTGTTTAAGCGCACAGTATGTTCAGCGGTCATTTTGCCATCAACGGACGAGATTTTTACTGATACAGCAGTGGATTTACGACGGATATACTGAAAAGCGGCTTTTTCATCTTTCCGCATATCCTGCTTCCATTTCTGTATTCGATTTTGCTTGTCCTTCAATTGTTCTTGATTAATGGCGTTGTCAATGATGTGTAGTGCGTGTTGATAATTTTGGCTATCTAATGCGTCATTCAGATCCTGCAACCTATCTGTATCTATAAACGGCGACACTTTTTGAATATTTGAAATGGTCTTATCGCGTCTTGTACCAGGGGCAGAAACCAAAACTTCATTCAGGCGGCAATGTGCTTTCCACAGCTGTCGACCGATCAACGTGCTTGCCTGCTGTCCGATCGTTTTCGGATGAAGTCTTTGCTCGTGAAATTGCAGTCTTGTTCTTCATTTCATGATTCTGTTGAGTAGCCAATACACGCAGAAGTCTTTCAAGTTCCAATGACCATGACTTGAAAGCAGTATCAACATCTTTCTCTTTAATAGATTGGTGAAATCGATCTGAAATAGAACAGACCAGTAGTTTAGAATTAGGCGATGGAAATTCTAAATTATGAAAAGGTTCAACTGCTCTAAGACTGGTGCGCATCTGACTGCATTTTGGAACGGAGAATTGCACAGAGACAACTGAGTGATCCTTAAATTCGGGGTATTTTTGGACGTCAAAGTTACTTGATTGATCATATAATGATTGGGTGACGAAAATGTGGTCAATTTGAGAACCTTTGCCTTTATGACATGTTGGCCGTGCTTGAGTAGAGGAGTTTGCACGTGTGCGTACATCAAACCAAAATTGAGTGCTAAGATATTTTCTTATGCAATGGGAGTCGCTCAGTTCAAGATTAAAGTCACCCATGAGGATACTTGGACATGGTCCTCTCTCAACTTTATCATGTTCAATCGCTTGCAATAATTCGTGAAAATATTGCTTCTTGGGTCTTTCCCATCGAGCTCCAGATTTACCATAAATTGAATAAACAGTGGTTGTCACACCCCCTCGCCCCATCCAAAGTTGACAGGCCACTAAACGTCCTTCCTGATAAAAACGGTAACAGGGATGTGTAGGATCCCAGGAAAGTTTTTGGGCAGCCCAGAATTTGGCACGCTTGGCAAGTATGGCAACACCATTGAAGTGTCTATCAGGAGCGTTATTACCCCAAATACAGAAATAGGATGGGAATTGTGAGGTCTCGGCAGAGTCCAAATGTTGCTGGAGATGAGTTTCAGAAAGGGCGTAAATATCGTGCTTCAAATGGTTCAGCTGGAGGCGTTTTGTGGCCTCCTGCATACCTCCAACATTAATCGTTGCACAACTTTTTGTGTCACACACCTTAATTTTGTGTTGTTGATACCAAGAAGGCTTACCAGCTGTGTTGCCAACCAGCATATGCATCATTTTGTTCCTGCAACGGCGGTCAATGTGCCAGCAAGATATGCGCAGCTTCCGAAGTCGCAGAGGTACATCATAAAATGGAATTACATATCTTTGCGATCCTTGGCTTCAGGAGTTTCACCAGTAGCGGTGGGAGTCCTTTTCTCAGCTTTCCTTATTGGTGAAGAATGTTCAGGTGTTCTTTTTGGTTTGACTAAATCTTCAAAGAATTGCTTCCTGGTTGTTGAGCGCGCTGGCTGTGCGGGTGCTGTTGATGGTGCTGAAGCAGCCTTTGCGATATTCATGTCTTTGACCATCTGCTTTGCTTGGGAATTCAAGGCCGTAAATTGAAGTCCACGAAGTGCACCTTGATAAAGGTAATTCATCGGCCCGTAATGACCAATACCTCCAGAGAGGAAAACGGCATGTTGTTCACCAACATAGAGTACTTCTGCTTCTGACCATTTTTGGTCCACCAAAAATGCAAGGGCACCATGAATACCAATTCCCTGGTGGGTACCTGACAACTTGAATCTTCCAAGTTTTGCTGTGTCTTCAAGTTTGAGCTCCTTGGCGGATTTCGATAGAGCAGCGAGAGTACGAAAGCGAATTGCAAAGCGTAAGGCTGTCGGGGGGCCTTTTTTGTGCTAGGCCCAATCCTTCCTTGGTCTTTTCTGCAATTTTCAATGCTGATGTCAAATCGCTCTCTTCTCCTAACCACAACAGTTCAAGCTCAGGAGAGCTACCCTTCTTTTCTTTCACGAATATTCCTCGTCGACCCGACGAGCGCATCAATTCGTCAACGAATTGGGCGTGGCATAAGAAGCTTGCTGAAACTGATTCTCTTGGTTGAACATCGGAAATGGCATGTTCTGGGACAATCTGAGAGAGTTCCGCAACAATTATATTGACTGGCATTTTCTGAATAGGCCATTGATGGTGAGGACTGAATTTCACAATCATCTCCTTCATTGTACTGTAAAGTTGCACCGTAGGTCCAACAAGCTTTTGGACCACTTGTTGTCCATATCCAAGTTGCGTGAGCCATCTTCTCACCTGCACGTTCTTCCGCTCTGCATTTTCAGCCATGATGGAGTAATTACAGAAAACCTCCTGCCGAGGAAAGCCTCTTAGGCCTAAAAGGTCTGGGTTTTCGCTGGTCAATATACCAACCGACTCTTTTGTCCATCCCACATTTTGCAAAACCGTAGGTATATGAGTTTTGGGACAAATAGCAATGCCCCCTTTCGAGTCGAGATGTTGCCAATGGCATGTTCGAATTGACCATTCGGTCGGGTCGAGCTGAGGCTGCTGGCGCATCAGCGCCGCTTCCGGTAAAGCATGTATGACCTGCTGCAGCAAGTCGTCTGCTGAAGGCTCTGAATTTTGAACAACTGGAGTTCCCATATCGACTTTTCCTTTTCCTCGTGCTCTCCCTTTTCCTTTCATTTTGTTATCTGGTCCATTTCCGTTTTGAGCACGCATGTTTCGATTCCTCATCCTTCCAGTGATATGCCATCCGAGCTGAATATGCCACAAGATGGAAAGGCCAAAAGTCATCAAGAGCCATACCCGAATGAGTCGAAAGAGAATTCTCTTGTTTGTTCGATAAGGTCTTCTCCATTTATGTCTCCTTTTTCCCACAAATCGAGCTTTCCGGAATCTACAGCGGCAGTGCGAGTCTGAAATCTCAAAGATGAAGCGTCTGAATGAGGTCAATTGATTCAAGAAAGAAAGCGAGAAATCATCAATAGCTTTGCGCAAGCATTTCAATTCAATGCACGAAAAGGAATGGCATAGCAGTGCAAAAAATAAATACGGAAAAGCAGCTGGCAGCTGCATAGGTTCGACAAGTCTGAAAAGCCAAAAGGCTATGTAAAGACACAAATGAGGATTCGCAAGACTTGCATCAAGAATGCACTGTGTGTTGAGTCAAAAAAGACATTTGTGTGCACTGTCTCACCGCCCTCTACAACTTCACCTCCGGCATGCACACGGTTGTAGAGGGCGTAGGTGCCGGAGAGCCTGCTGGATCCCAGAAGTAGAGGTGGCTTGTAGGAGCGCAGCCAGCATGCCGCTGGCGCCCTCCAAGGGCACATACCTCAACCAATGCCTGAGCGTGGCAAATTTGCCGCCGGCACTGTTGCTGTCTGAGTTGATGCTCTTGCAATGTCGGATTTCTGCTTGCCTGTTAATCTGCGTCGTGGGTTAGCACTTGATGAAGCCGAAGGTTCGGCCACTGACAATTCTTGCACAATAGACTGATGCGGGTTATTCCTAAAAAGTACAACCCAATCAGGAGGAGAGGGTATGATTGATGTTGGCACGCACTTTTTGGAATTGGGAAGATTACAAATTCGGTGTTTCCATGCGAATTGTCGGCCGCATTTCTGGCACCAGAGTTGACCGTAGTCACTGGTTTTCGTTGGGTCCTTCCCGCACTTCTCGTTCCATACGAAGTCATGCCCTGGAGTGTTGTACACTTCTAGCAATTCCTGCCAAGCTTGATGTAGCCGATTAGGGTTACTGTGAGCACCTGGTTGATTGACCCAAAGGTGTTGTGGTAGATCAGCTTTCTGACAGGGCTTACTGAGTATTTTGAGTCTTTGGTGTTTTAAGAGCTTAGTGGATTTCCCACATTTCATACAAAACACTCCCCCTTCGTCTAGTAGCTTCAATACGTGTCCGTTCTGAGGAACCGGCACAGGTTTATCCGCGGAACTGCCAGCCGGATTAGGTTGTTGTTCGGCAGGGGATTCATGAGCAGGATTATCACTTTCGGGGGTTATGTGGAATTTTTCGGCCCCATTATACCATTCATCGATGTGTGCTTGCCAGATCTGTACCAAAACTCGTTGAATTTCACAAACGCTTTCGATGGAAATGTTGAAGCCAAAAGGTACAATGCCACAGCAACGAAAACAGGTGGGGAGCTGGTCAATAGGTGATGGGAGTAGTGGCAGTATGGGATCCCGAATGTCTTTAAAATTCGGGCAAAACCACGATATGTGTTCGAGGCTTGGTTCGCCTTGTTTGCATGTGCATTGGACAGTGCCAGCTTGCTTTTTGTGCCGATGTTGCCGCTCAGGGTTCTGCAGTCCCGCAGACAGAAGCAACCGGAGCACTTTTGCTTTTGCCCTAGGATCCTCGTGGGGAGGAGGGTTGGTGACTGTACCTAGGTCACACTGCGCTTGAAGATGATCAGCGTCTCTGGTTAAAGAAGAAAGATAGGCGAGAGTCTTATCTCTGTCAACACCTGCGTGACAACCCGCAAAATGTTGGGGCCTGTCTCTGCACAAGAGGGTCCACATATGCTTTCGATGAGCTTCACGTAGTTGATGCTGAAATTTATGCGGATGTAGATTGTGAGAAAGAAAGGCTTTCATCGTTTCACCAAACACGGGATGCTCGAGCAGCTGCTTTGCACGTGCCACAGGGCCATCAATCTGATTTTGGCATGTTTGGATTTTAGCCTTCAACTGATTTATCGCTGAAACATCCTTGTACATACGTCGAATCAGGTTAAAAGCACTGAGCTGCAGGGCGAATTCAGGATCAATACTGGGTTTGGTCAATAATGCAAAAATAGCGTGCGGGGAAGCATTATAATTATACGTGTTTAATAATGTTCTTACCACGGACGCTCTCATGTTCCTAGCATTATCCTTCGAAAGGTTAAGATGATGCATCCCTTGACCAAAAGTTAATTTTGGCATCAGACTTTGGATAATGGCAGTTTTGTCATTCCAACTTCGCGGAATAGTTTGTACCAGTTGCACCACTGATTGCCATTGGCTTTTGCGATTATTTTCTAAAGGCGTCCAGCTTCTGGCATTAGAAAGTTTAATACTGCAACCAACTAATCGAAATGAGTCACAATGTTCGGCAATGCTGGGAATAGAATTCTTTATGCTTTTTGAACCAAAAGTGAAAGTTTTCTTTTCATTGATTGATAATCCAGTTGTCTGGATAAACTTTTGAGTGAGTTGATGAACTTTCCGAAATTCGGTTTGGACATGCTGCTTATTGCTGTGAATAGTAAGAGATGACATGTCATCTGCGTAAGCCCTTTGAGTTGAGTTGATAGTACGCGCTTGCACATGTTCAAGCCATGCGGTCACAACCGATGAGAGAATAAGCATACTAAGTGGACATCCTTGGACAATCCCGTTGCACGGTTGCAATGACGGGAGATAAGAGCCTTCCAAGCGGAAATGCTTTCGATGATCGGAATAAAAAGCACGGAGAGTTTTGACCACTTTGAGATCTGCTCCTCTGGCTGAGAAGATGTCGAGTGCAAGGTTATAGGGAACTGAATCGAAACACTTGGCAAGATCATATGAAATGCCGGCAACGACATGATTGTTGGCGAATGCTTCCTCAATTTGTCTACATGTATCAAAAGCCAACTGATCTGCGGCTTGCGAAAATTTGCCGCCGTAAGACTGCGGGTGTTTCCAATGCGGTGACCAAACACTAGCAAGTTGTTGATGGCGAATGGCAGACCATAGGCGATAAACGGTTGATAAAATAGTAATAGGTCGATAATCTGATGGAAGTGGGTCCTTTTTGTCTGAATCTTTTGGAATCAGAGCTACAGCACCTTTCACCAGGTTTTGAGGCCATTTCTGCCG